TAACAGACACATCATTACAAGTTCTGGATGTATCTCAAAAGCGATATACTAACCCACAATAAGCTAAACAAAAATGAAAGTTGACTCTCCCCTAATGCTACTTCTTGTTCTCTAGAGTACAACTAAAAAGTTGTCTCTTGCATGCAGCCCTGATTCACTTCAAGGCCTCGCTCACCCCTTCACAGCCCTTTGGGCAGCTTTTGGGTTGGGACAGGAGGGTGGACCAGGCTTTCCTAGCTCAGATAAAGGTGTCAGGGTAGAGAGGGTGTCCCATCCTGCTTCTGTCAGACCAGATGCTTCAGGCTGGACTCTGAGGAGACAGTTAACACCACCCAGAGAAGCACACCCTTAGAGGCCCACATCAGTCCAAACTAAGATGGACTAGTGAGTGGATCCCTGTAGACGTCGTCAGAATGGAGCACAGCACAGTGAGCTTCCTGGCTGGGCACTTCCTCCAGGCCATCAGTTTTTAATACTCTTGTCAAAGAATCCACATTGCAGAAAGTTGAGAAGACCTCTTTAAGCCCAGGGTCTAAAAAGACCACAGTCTTTTTAAACCATTTAGCTGGGGACAAACAACTTTTAATTTGTTAAAAACCAGGGTCCAATGGTGCTCCTTTAGAGTGACCAGACTAAGAGCTCTAACTCGGCCCCTCTCTCTGGTTTGAGTCCCACCTCTGACCTCCCCAGCTGCAAAACCTCAGTATGTCATTTAAGTCAGCAGTGTCAGGTTCCTGGTTTACAAGTTGGAAATAAGCCTCAGAAAAAAATCACCGTAAGGGTTAAGTAAACTCAGGTGAAATGACTAACTTAGAGGCCTAGAAACTGGCATACATTTAATTGAGTGAGCTAATCATCATCAGCGTTATAATACTTGTTACAAAAAGTTCCATCATTATCTAATTATACTTAATGGAGTTCATTAACAAAAGAAAACAAAACAGAGCTGGAAATCTAGTCCAGCAGTTGAGCACTTGCCTAGCCGGCATTCCTAGTTCAATCCTAGTACCACCACCAACCACCACCACCACCAACCAACCACCACCAACCACCACCACCAATACCACCTCCACCCACCACCACCACCTCCACCCACCACCACCACCACCACCTCCACCCACCACCAACCACCCACCACCACCCACCACCACCCACCACCACCCACCACCACCACCACCCACCACCACCCACCACCACCACCACCACCCACCACCCACCACCACCCACCACCACCACCCACCATCACCCACCACCACTGACGATGACAACAAAAGCCACACTCAGAAGAGAGAGTACTTGGGTTGACTTACATCATTTTACACCCTGGCATCATACATAAATTTCCACATTTGACAAGTAAAATGGAAGCACCCCAATAGTTTAACTGTATTCTTTCTCATACTCAAGTCTAGAGCTTTTTAAAAAAAAAAAAAAATGCTATTTTGACTCTGGGTCTGACTTTCTGCTCAGTTTTCTGAAAGGATTCATTGAAAACCCCACATTGGCTGGAAGACTGCCGCCACTCACCTTCCCAACAGTAAGTGTGGGAGATGACAGCGGTATCCACTGGGTCTCAGTTTGCGAATACACAAACACTCCATTGTACTGCAAAGGGCAAAGGCTCTCTTAGTCATCTAAAGGCACACTGTTCGTGCTCCTGGAGCCTCTGCTCTACCTTTAGCTCAGCTGTGTTACATTTCCTACCCTCCACAACAAACACCTCTCAATTTATTATGGTGACTCTCCAAATGAGTCCCAGTTACTAATTTTTAAACATAACACTGCACAACTGAGTTAGTCTTCTGTCTTACCTCAGCTAGGCTAGCCAGAACAAACACCTCAGACTGGCTGACCCAAGCAACAGGAACTTATTTTCTCTTATTTCTAGCTGCTGAGGTGTCCCCAAGACCAATGTCTCGGCTAAATTGCTCCTAGCAGGAATCTTTTCCCGGATTCAAGATGGTCCCTTTCTCTGGTACCTCACAAGGCTGGGCTACAGCTCGGGTATTTCTTCCTCTTCCTCTTCAGTCAATCTCGTCTTTATGACTTAGCTTAAATGTGTGATTCCTCACAGGCCTTAGCTCCAGAGTTAGGGTTTCCACATTTAAATGTGGGGTGACACAAACATTCAGCCCACAGAAGTCTTCTAACCACACAAAAATAAAACTTAAATTCAAACCCACTGTGGTTATAGTTACACTCCATTTTCTTCTACTCATACATAGAAAACTGCCAAGTAACTGGGCATGGTGGCACACGCCGGCACCCTAAGTACTCAAGGCAGAGGCAGGAGAATTGCTGCAACTTCAGGGACAACCTGGGATACACAGCAAGTTCCAGATCAGCCAGGGAAACAGCAAAACCTTGTCTCAAAAAATATATATATAAAATATATACATATATTTTATATATATAATTACATATTATATATATATATATATGTAATATCTACAATTTAGTTTTTTTAACTGACTGAAAATTTAAATACATAGTAAGTTACCAAACTCACCTTGGTTCAATTCCCAGCACCCACATAAAATAAAATAAATCTTTAGACTAACAGGTCCACATTTCTCTTGAGACACAATATACATAACACATGGGAAAGGAACTTTTAAAAGGGCTGATCACCTCCATAAAGAATTCCATCTGTTTAAACAGATCCCGGGTGGGGACCTGACTTCTAAAAGGCATGTCTGCGTCAGTATCCAAACATCACACTGCTCCCATAATCACGCCAGTAGCAGCCATTTCTCAGAAAACTAGACCAGTTCCACATCATTCTTAGAAAAATAAGACTGCAAAAACTCTTGGAGCCTCAGATTCTGAAACCCTTACACTTGACAAGTGTCCATGCCAAGGGAAGGGAAATGCTTGCCAGGCCTGGCAGCTCAGTGGTGCCAGAATGAAACCAGAACACAGGGCCCCTACCTAACTACAGGCCAGGGTGCCAGTGAGCACAGCTCTACGCAGCATCAAGTCCCAAGTGCTCCAAACATCAAAGCAGGAAGGGAGTGCTCCAGCCCCTGGCAAGGACCAAGAGCCCCATCAGGCAGCAGCAAGGAGGACCTTGGACCTCCTCCCTGGAGCCCCCCAGTGGTGACAATACAGAAAACAAGGACCAGTGCACCCCCACACTCTAGCTTCGCTTCTCTTCCTCCTAAATCATGAACACTTGAGGAGGACACATTTCTGTTCATTCAGATCCCCTGGAGAGGGAAATGAGGGGCCAGTTCCTCTTCTCCCACATCAGCCGGGGTCTGCTCCTGCATACTCCTGACCTTGACACTAAGAATCTAAACAGCACATGTCCAAGCCTCGCAGCCTTCTCACACAGCAGCTTTGAGGCAGAATGGGCAAATCAACCGTGAAAAAAGCTGAGTTGTGGTGCAGTAAAGAGGTCCTCCAGGACCCAGCTGGTTTTATGGGCTCTGTAAAGCATTCTCACATGTGGGGACACATCACTTTAGAGGCACATTTTTTTAACATTCAATAGTAGTCACTATTTTTATGAGGGATCCATCTCACATGTCTTTCACGTGCTCATGGCTGTACCTGCAGAAATAAAAGGCCTTCCCTACGGACTGCTCTCAGCCTACACTGGGGTGACTAAACAGGCTTTTCGTCTTCGTCTATGAAACGGATGAATTTCGCACTTGCTGTTCCGGCTCACAACACAGAGCGATCTGTACAGCTGCCAGGTTTAGTAAGGCCCTTAACAGCCACTCTTGGTACTCTCAAATTTCAGCCTAATCTGACCAGAACTAGAACTTCTAAAAGCCAAGCCAAGGTAAACGAAAGTTCATATTAGAAAATTTTAGTTGCTTTCCTATCCCTGTAGCATCTTTCGGGAAAATTCAAGGGGGAAAAAAAATCTCTTCATATGTGATGGGAGTATTTGTGAACCTTCAAAAACCACTACAGCATGTTAAGCACATAGCCATTTATTAAAGTTTTATTATATTTATTTAATGTGTGAGAGAGAAAGAGAGGACACCCAAGCCAGCGTGTACATGTGGAGGCCAGAAGACAACTTGTGGGAGTTGGTGCTCTATCTACTCTGTGGGACCCTCAGATCAAACTCGGGTTATCAAGCTTAGAAGCCAGCCCTTCAAGTCATCTTACATGCCCCTCCAATTATTTTTGAGACGAAGTCTTGAGATGTATGTACACACACGTACGTGTATGTACATACATACATACATACACACACACACACACACACACACACACACACACACACACAAAATCATCCCAGGCAGGGCTTGAACTTGCAATCCTCCTGCCTGGGCCTTTCAAGTAACAGGATTATACAGGTGCACCACCACACTCAGTTTGCTTTAAAAAAAAAAATTAATAAAATAATTCACGTGTTCCCGTTTGCTTCCTGTAGCTGTGACCTCGACTACAAGAAACTTGAGGGGAGGTATTTCCTCCTAAACTTCCAGGTCACAGTCCGTAACTGGGGAAGTCAAGAGACCATGCAGGAATGCCGCTTACTGGTTTATTCCCAGGTTTCATGTTCAGGTACCTTTCTTCTCCATCCACCTGCCTCAGTATGCCCACAGTGTACTGGTTCTTCCTACACCAATTAGCAAGCAAGAAAATGCACCATAGACATGCCCTCAAGCCAATCTGATTAAATCAATTCCCTAATTGAGGTTCCTTCTTCCCAGGTGTGTCAAACTGGCAACCAAGGTTATCACAATGTTTGAACAGCTAGCCAACTGCACAGTTATAGACACACACTCTGAGTTTACGCCCATCAGTCACTCCCCGAAGCAGCTCTGAGCTGCTCAAGGGTGAGGGCTGTGTTGTCTCCCCAGACTTCCCGTCTTTCCCGAGGGTCTGTTGGACCACAAAAGGCTAGCTGCTTTAGTGACATAATGCATTAGTTCTAAAACCAGATGGTCTTTCTGCTTTCTGCCAAGCCCAATTTTACATGCAAATAATTCATAAAGTGTTGCATAATATGTGTGGTTGAGTTACTTTATTCTTACCAGAGCTGGACACACGCCTGATCCTCTGAGGCGATAAGGCCCTGTCGGAGCCCAGGGTTCTACTATCGTTCCTCCTCCTCAGGCAGGAAACGGCAGGCCCCACTTTGGCTTTGAGACCTGGTGTTTTCCTCAGGCTGCAGGAGTCTGGCTTGGAAATGCTCCTTCCCGGGGTGGTGGCGGCTTTGGGTGCAGAACCCTGTGAGAAAACCAGTTAAGATTTCAGTCTCATCCCGCTTTCGCCACACCATCCCTGTGGTGTCAGCTCTGTGAGAGAAACCGCCTCTGTCTTGGTGGCTGTGCCAGAGAAGTCTTTAATGACCATTTTTACTATGAACAATTAAGAAGACTCTTCACACCTGACTTCAATGTGTCCCAATCTGTCTTCAGGCACATTAGTAGACTTGATCCCCAGTGCCTGCATTGACTTCTGCACTACTGTTCAGCCCTCTGGGTAGCAGGCACTCAGCTAGTTCCCCCTAGTTGTCTGGTTATTCCTTTTTTAGGGTCCTATTCTTTGGTACCTTTCAAAGCTAGTCTTCACCAGGGCTTCAACTTGGTCTTGTTCTCCTCCCTCACCAGAACTCACCATACATAGCTTGTCTGCTGTTTCCACTGGGACTGATGCACTCAAAATCCACACTTCCAGGCCAACACTTCCCCCTGCAGCTGCCCGTGTGTTTAATTTCTGTCTGTGTCTCCCCACTGAGATCTTTTTACTCAGTAAGAACAACAATGATCCTATTATTGTTGGCCTTCACTGACACTGAGCCCTTACACTATGCAAGATACCATCCTAATTTTTTAAATTTTTACCTAGCTTACAAAACAGTGAGTTCATGTCATATAAAATATGGTAGTTATGCACATATATAGTTATAGTTTATCTATATTTAACCACTCACTGCTCTTTATCATCTTCCCATCCTTTTGCTCCCAAAATTTGCCCTCGACTTTCATGCCCCATGTATGTGTGCGTGTGTGTGTAGACACCTGCACATATATACTTAATTTAGCACACAAGACAAAATGTGATTTTTTTTGTTGTCTCTGTCACCCCTTTTATTCCCCAATTATCCCTTTTCTTTTAGTCCTCTTCTTCGCCACAGTCCCTCTATTTTCAAGGTGTGCACACACACACACACGTATTTACATGTATACACACATATATACTATACAAAAGACAGATGAATTCTGTGTCTGAAAGAAATCATGTATGTGTTTCTGAGTCTGACTTATTTAGCTCAACATGATTTCTTAGTTCCATCTATTCTCCTATAAATGACCATTTCACTCATTTTTACCGACAAATAAAAGTTTCATTGTGTATATAATAGCTGCTCATCTGCTGACAGTCATCTAGACTTGTTCTGTTTATGGTTACTGTGAATAGCAAAGCAGTAAACATAGATGTTTGGGTGTCTCTGTGGTAAGATTAGATTCCTTCAGGTGTAACTCAAGGAGAAGTACAGATAGTTCCATGGTGGCTCTACATTCTAAATTCTAAACATATGTATCAACTTATTTAAATCTGTTTAATCACCCAGGAAGATTATCTGTCATACCCTGTGGTAGTTTGAATGTAATTGGCCCCCATAACCTCAAAGGGAGTGGCCTTGTTGGGGCAAGTGTGTCACTGTGGGGCAGGCTTTGAGGTCTCCTATGCTCAGGCTACACCTAGTTCAGTTCACTTCCTGGTGTCTGTGGATCAAGATGTAGGACTCTCAGCTCCTTCTCTAGCACCATGTCTGCCTGCATGCCACCATGACTTGCCATGATGATAATGGACTAAACCTCTGAATTGCAAGCCACCCCAATTAAATGTTTTCCTTTATAAGAGTTGTCATGGTCATGGTATCTCTTTGCAGCAATAGAAACCCTACCTAAAACATACACCCATTTTAAGAAATAACATGAAACACTTTCAAAACTTAAACCAGTTTTACCTATCTATCTCACAGTTTACACCTTGTCTCCTATTAACATACCCAGGTGCCCATCTTAAACAATAAAAGCTTCCTTTCTTACCTCTTAAGCCCACCTTTCCACCTGCCTTAGTACAAAAGCCAGGCTCATTTCTCAAAAGGATTACTGAAATCACGTCCTCAGGGACTGTCTGGTCACACCAGCCTCTGCTGCTGCTTCTACTCCCCTTCTACAAAAATGTAACGAGTCTTTTTCTGTCCCACCAGCTAGCTTGCAAATAAGGACACGGAGACTTATTAGTTATGAAAGCTCAGCCTATAGCTTAGGCTTGTTCCTAACTAGCTCTTATAACTTAAATTAACCCATTTATATTAATTTACGTTCTATCACATGCTGTTTCCTCTCTTCCATCTTGCACCTCTTATTTCCTCTCCATGTCTCCTGGAGTCTCCTGTGTACCTAGATTCTCCTCCTCTTCCTTTCTCTTCCTGGAAATCCCACCTATACCTCCTGCCTAGCTATGGGGCCATTAGGCTCTCTATTAAACCAATCAGAAGGTGCCTTGGCAAAGACACATCTTCACAGTGTACAAATATTCTGCCATACAAAAACCTCCCTCAAATTCAACTCTCTTAAAATCACATCAAACCCTTTAGGATGTGGCAGCCCCTGCAATTAACTTCCTTGCATTCCCCATTCCCATCACAACCTCTGCCAGGCCATCCCCTGCATCAGAATACCTTCCAATGGTTCTTCATCTTTAGACTTGGTGTTTCCTCTGCCCAGAATGCATGCCCTATAACTTATGGCATGTGGCTAAGTGGCATTTCCATCAGAAGTTTCCCTTGATAATCTTCGCGATTGCTACCACCCATTTTCCTGTCCTGTAACACAGCAACCTGATCACACTCATAACTCAGTAATTATGCCCTGGTGGCTTATTTTCTGATAGTCCCACTGGACTAGGTAAAACATTTGAACCAAAGCTGTCTTTCTTTATACCCCAATAAGTGTTATCATACGTGGCACACACAGTTAAGTGCCCAACAAATGTTTCCACTGTAGGGATAAGGAAATGGGAGCCTGAGTCTTACTCCAAGTACAAAGTCTAACACTATACACTATAATTTCCTCCTTTTACATAGAGAAAAACTGAGCCTCATAGGAAGGTCATTTTGCAGTGAATGATGGAGCCACAAATCTAAAAGTATCCAGAATTCATGCTCTTAAGCTCAGGCTTGCATATTCCCTACGATGATCCTCCTTTGTTTAATCATCAATGATTGTTTCCATATATATCCTATATATATATATATATATATATATATATATATATATATATGGTCCTACACCAATGGCTGTCGAATCCATATACTAGGTGAAGTCAATACTAATCGAATAGCTAGTATCCAAAGAGAACTGCTACAGATTCATGTTGCCACTGGAATGCAACACAGGATTCTCCCACCTAGAGAAACTTTCTTTTAAGGAGCAAACCAAACTTCTCTTCAACATACAGGAGTGAACCTTCCATGAATCACTTACTTTACCTTCAGAGCTGACATTCTGAAAGATTTTGAAGTTTGTGAGACATGAGGGACCTGAGTTTGAGCATCTGTTTCCTTTACAGCTGTGTGAGTTTTAAATAAACCCTCTGAGGCACTATCATAGATAACAACTGACCCTCTGTTGCTGAAAAGACAATGGGCGTAAGCCCTGAGCATTACTGGGACAATTAAATGACGGCCTGTAAGGAAGGTGCCCAAGCCCCTCTTTCCTTTATGCAACAGCTCCCTTTTATCCAGCATGTTATCTTGAACACACAACCTCTGCCATGGGCAACTACTTTTAACGCTCTATAGCAGTTTAAATCAAATCACTTCTCCCATATAAAAAACCTTTCTAAAGTTTCAGGTAAATCTGGATCACCAAACAGCCATAAGGTGTAGGCAGCCTTGAATAAACTAATGTACCTGAAGACTAAGACCAACAGAATACACACACACACACACACACACACACACACACACACACACACACACACACATCCTTCTAAGGCAGTACCATTGGGTACTACTAGGTACTACCAAAGTGACTAACAAAAAAATGCGATGTGAGTTCACTTGTTTAGCATTCTACAATAGCCCAGCCTGTGGCTATGATCTAGCCTCATCATGCTAGCAAACAATGTGTCAGAGTTGAATTAGACAAATGGGAGGACACTACTGTATGTAAGATAGGGTCAGAGACGCACAGTTCTTTACTCTAGCAGACAAGTACAAGTGCCAGTGATGAGATTGTGGGACAGCCCTTACAGCCTTACAAAGCATTTCACACTTAATTCTAAGGTCTCACTGCAACATTGCTAGGGTGCAAACTGCTGGAATCCATCTCACCTGATGATTCACGCAGCCTCACCTCAATACCACATCATCATGGGTCTGCAGCTACCAAATTGGAAATATAAGGAAATAAAACGAAACCTAAACTCTCCAGTTTTAGAACTACACAAGCAATTTATATTCAAGACAAATGTCCAGGAAACTTGGTTAGTTTTTCTGGTACTGGGGTTCTACAAGTGAGTGAAAGTCTCTCATGAAACTAAGCATGCTGGTGCATAACTAACCTTAGCATGAAGGGTGGGTGCTAAGCCAAATTCAAGGCCAGCCTGGGCTACTGTATGCTGAATTCAAAGCTATGCTGGCTGTAATTTTAATACCCAAATTCTCCATAAATTAAGGAAAAATATTGTGTTTCTATACATATCTATAAACACCTATTTAAGACTACTGATTACAATGGAGAGTTTATTATAATTCTATTTGGTATATTAAAGTTCTAAAACAATCGGAGTTTTCTCCATTAGACATAAAAAGAACTTGAAAGATCTGTGTCCTGAAACAATACACAAGCCCATTGGATTAGGAATCTCTACGGCATTCCATCCTTACCAACAGAGTTATTGATAAAGCTAAACATCTGTAAACTGACCCAGGTCAAGAGTTTCTCCACTGTGTATCATCTGGACAATCCCTGCACGACCTGCTATGTATGTAACCTGAAACAAAACAACCTCGTGTACTTGACCATGCTGTGTTTCATTCCTCCCACACCAGAATCCCCTAAGAAAGGCTGTCTTGTCTTTCTCCTCCTCTGCACGCAGATCCATTCCCGGGCCAGAGGACAAGCATTTCAAGGGCGGTCTGTGTGCGGCTGAAAATACACCTAAGTCTCCACTGACAAAAATAGACCTGAGGGCACGTACACAGCCCAACAGTAGCCTGGCAAATGCTAGGAACACTAGTTTGATTATACTATTGTCAAAAAACATGTGCATGTTTACAGAAAAACAACCTTTGGACTGCACATAATGCTTCAGGTTTTTTTTTTTAAGTGACTATGTAGTCCCCCTTAAGGTTTTGACTGGTGCTGCTGAAGACATACTGCTTTATTTACTACGTATGGATTTCCTTCATGCATTAGGAACCAATGCAAATGGGCTACAGGTGACCTTACACATCCACTTTCCCTTCTGGCTGTGGCAAAGTTACCGGACCTGTGTCACGCAGCTGGTCGAAGCAGACTCACAAATCTGAGAATAGGTTCTGCCTCCAAGGCTACATCCCCAACAAGACACCAGGAGTGATTTTTATGTTGATGTGTTTACCAGCAGCACTCCCTAGCCAGTTCTTAAATGTAGTTTGCATGCTTAGAACCCCTTTGGTTTTTTAAGAAAAATAAAGTGTAAACTGACGTCAGCTACTTCACTTCAGATATCTAAATATACTAAAGCATTAACTTAGTCCTTTAAAACACTATCAAAAGGAACACCCATGTTCAAGAAAATACTGAAATGAAGTTTTTCACTATGCAAGTTTGTTATATTTTTGACTCATGAACACTCTATATACTGGCTGACCAGGGCAAAGAATACCTGTGTACAAATTATGAACCAAGTTCAGTGATATTATTAGCAACTAATAGGTAACGTACGTATTGCTAATACACCAGCTTTCTTCACCACTCCTAGAAGCCTACAGCGGCTTTCACTTACCACAAACAGAGACTTGCATTCAAAAGTCTCATTCATGGCTGCCTTCCCCAACTCTTGCTTTTCCATTGGATCCCTGCTGTCCTTTTCACCCTTTTCAGGGCTCATCTGATCAATGTGGGAAACATAGGTTACTTCCAAGCACTCTGAACTTTTCATTTTAACTGGGAGAATGCCTTTGATCTTCTGGAAAAACGCAGCTACAGACCCAGTCTCACTGGCTGCAGGAGAAGAACCCGTCTTGTCAACATCTTCCCGATTCGATTTCGTGGCAGATGTTGTTCTTGGAACCCTGAGCGAAGCGTTTTTAGAATGAGTTGTAACATGCACGGCCTGGCTGGTAATGAGTTTATTAAACTGTTGCTTGTCTGTCTTGTTAATTAGGATTTCTGCTTTTTTGTCTGCGGTCAAGTCAGACCTTGGTGGTCTGTTCACAACTGTCAACTGTTTAGAAGGCACTGGTGGGGTTGAAGAGACCCCAGTAATCTGAGGTTTGGGAGTGCCCTTCGTTGGGGAAGCGTCTTTGGGTTGCAACACTGATCTGGATATAACTTTGGCTTTAATGTTCTTGAAGTTTGGTCTTGGATAACTTATAATTTCTGTTTTCCTAACTTTACTGCCTATAGTAGTATTTGTTTTGGTAGCTGATTTTCCCAGATTAGGCTTTGGCATATTCACTGGTGCGCCTTTCAAGTTTGGTGCATTTTTAGCATCTCTTGGACCATTCTCCACATGATTGCACTTCTCTGTTGCTTCAACCGGTGAAAGCGTAAGGCTGACATTGGGGGTTTGCTGAACTGGTGTTGACGTGCAAGCTGTATTATTTGTGTTAATGGTTCTACCATTCGCATCCCAAGCCATTTCATACAGTGAACACCTCTGCCCTGGGACACTTCTTAGGGTCAGCTCTTCAGTATTCTCTTGGATTTCTGAGTCGTTGTCGTCACGACAGGAGGCGATGTGTGGGTCTTTGGTCATAGTGACTTTACACTCAGTGTCCAGGACTCTGGTTTTACTTTTATCAAAAGCTGGCACCAGTAAAGGGCATTCATTATCAACATGACAGTTGGACAGTGTTTCTCTTAGATTTTGGCCCATTTCCTGTTGACCATATGAGCCGTGTGAATGTGTCTCACTGTTTGGTCCATCTTCAGATACACAATAGAACTCCTGTAATACAGACCCATTGGGAACCTCCATGCCATCAGAAACTGGTGTCGCAGCTTGTATCTCTTTTTCTGCAGCGAGTCCTTGCTCTGTCCCATCTGTGTACTCTTTGGTGACATTTCCTAAAGAATACTGACACTGAATTCCAATGTCTGCACTGTCCGTTTGCATCGGCACATCAGAACACACTGTGTAGGTTGTGTTTAGAGCCTCTGATGGTGGGGCTTGAAGGTTTTCCAAGCCCTCTCTATTATAGTGGATTCCTGTCACGTGCATCTTCGAGGAATGGGGTGATGTCCAAGTGGAGCAGGACAACAATGTATTTCCACCTTTCACGCTCACTGGCAGCAGACCATGTGAAGGCTGACCCTCTTCAATAGAATGGTGCGCTATAAAGGTACGGTTAGCTGTGTCCACTTTCATGTCAAATGTCTGTCTTAGCTCCAAAGCATCAGGGGAGTCTGCACAGTCGAAATCATCATCAGACTTGCACACACAGGACAGAGAGGGCTCAAACCTCTCATCCTGGAGCGACTTTAGGGAATCCAAGTTGCTATGCAGGTTTGGGGGCTTCGCTGGACTGTATGCAGAAGACTGATGGGTAGGATCACTGGGCATTGCAAACCCAGGCTTACTAATGAAATCACTTGAGGGTTCTGGGTAAGCAGGTGCTCCAACACAGCGATGGCTTAAAGACACACTCTCACTGCTATCCACAGCAGGATCCATTTCATAATCCACCACCATATCATCTGTGTTAGCAGCGTTCCAATCCCCGTGACTAGCTGAAGGGCGCCGTGTAGATGGTGACTTTGTGTTGTATTCAGATGTATTCCCGTTTTTATCACTGACAGATATATAATGCAATTCATCTTCTCTCTTATCTGATTTATCATCATTCATCCTGAATACTAACTTTAAACCTCTGCCATTTTATATTCTCTTCGAAGTCTTTTAAATTTGAGAAGTGAATGAAAAAATGGTCTAGCCCCCTCCTTATCACTTTCCAGCCCAGTTCCAGGATGGCAGTCTTAGATGCTTTGAAGTTGAAATGATTTGTTGTTCCCTGGAAGAAATAAAACATTTAACTTCAATAAATGTTAGAAACATTTACAGATCATCCTTCATTTAGATCACTGTTTTCACACCAACAACCTATAACTATGAATGTGGGAATTCACACTATCATTGGCTAACCTAGTATTGTCTTTCAAAGATACTTGTGTGTGTGTGTGTGTGTGTGTGTGTGTGTGAAGAAATGGGGTATGATATAGGAAAACAGGTAAAGTCCCTGTGACTGATGCCTTCCTGTCCCAGAAACACTCCAGAGGGAGGGAACTAAGTATGTGACAGACTTTTCTTCTTGGTCAGCTGTGGAACCATTCATCCCAATTTCCCTTGCCAGTTACTATTTATGTCCACTGTCCCAGCATAATTCATGAACATTCCCTCCATCATTAGAAGGCCTCTTACTCTGCATTAAGGAGAGTGATTACCAAAGAGACTATCCAGGCCCCATAAATGAGTGAAAGAGACTCCAGGAATTTACATTTCTCTTTCTTTTTTTTTTCCTGTTTCATTCCTATCTTAACCATGTGTCCTTCTGGGGCACAGGGACTGAGGGGCAAAGGAGTTGATATTAAGAATTGAAGTAGCGCCGGACAGTGGTGGCACACGCCTTTAATCCCAGCACTTGGGAGGCAGAGGCAGGCGGATCTCTGTGAGTTCGAGGCCAGCCTGGTCTACAAAGCGAGTTCCAGGAAAGGCGCAGAGCTACACAGAGAAACCCTGTCTCGAAAAACCGAAGGAAAAAAAAAAAGAATTGAGGTAGCTTCTGTTAGAACAATGTCTCTGTATGCTCAACTGTCTAGCACTTCCAAATAAACTGATACATTGAAACCAATCCTGTCCATTATGTTCAGCTATACTAGAGACTGAGTTTGGAGACAAGGTCTTTAAGGAGGTGGAAAAGGTCAAATGATAGCATAATGGGGGAGGACATATCCACCAGAACAGCTACCCTTCTGAGAAGAGACACCTGAACCCAACCCTGCCACTCCCCCCACCAGAACACAGTAAAAACAAATACACATCACCTTAATAGAAGCATTATCTACAACAGCTTAAGACCAAGGGTGGGAGGGAATCCATGTCCACGAACGGGTAAAGAGATTAAAAAAAACACTTGCCCATTTTATACATCAGAATATTTCTTGAGCACAATAAAGAATGTAAAACATTTCATTAGATACAATGTTGCAGTAGGAAAACATTACACTAAGAGAAAGAAGTCATCCAAAAGACTACCTATTAAGATACTATTTATACAAAATGTCCAGAACAGGCAAAACTATGGAAATACAAAGGACAGTAGGGATTTGTGTGGCAAAGGAGAAGAGAAAGCTAACTGCAACGATGGGTTTTTTAGGGGAGCAGAGGAGTAATAAAATGTTCTAAATCCATTTTGCTCATAGTTTCACACTGCCATAAAGACACTAAAATAACTGAATTGTGTAACTATAGTAGCAAACTTTTGAAATGTCCAGAAAGATTTCAGGTCTGGGCTGTGGAGATGGCTAAAAGGGTAAAGATGTTCGCTACGCAACTGCAGTTCAATCGCCAGAACCCATGTTAAGGTGGAAGGAGAGAATGAAATCCACAACGCTGTCGTCAGACCTCTGTACACATGCATGGTGCAGAGGAGCACACACGTTCTCGATCTCTCTCTCCGTATCTCCACACCCACCCCCCAAAATTTAAAGATTTAAAATTCAGGGTTTTTTTTTTTTTCAATAAATTTCAATAATAAATAGTCTAGTAAAATTCTAGTTGTTTGAGAAAGGTCCAGATCTTCAAGGTGGAACTACAATTCGTTCATAAAGATTTACTTCATCTGACTTTTACCCCTTAATGTTCAGTGTCCGTCATTTGTCATAGTGCTGTGTTCTGAGTAAAATATCTGGTGGGGTTGATTACACCCAGTATGTGACCTGTAAAATTCCGAATTAAGAGCATATCTTATTTTCCCACTTTGTAATTTGACTGCTCCATATTCAAACCCCAGTGACCTGAGTAAAAATCATACTAGGGACCATGAAGCACCCAGAGGCTCTGATGTTGTCACTAACAGGATTTTGTGTGTTACTGATCATGCATCCTGAAGTCAAATCCTGATGCAAAGAAAAGGTTGGAGTGTTTCTCAACAGTGTATGCACATACATTTGTGCATGCACATAGACACACAGAGCCTATACTCACCAACTCAGAGGCTTTGAATTCTACAATGAGAGCTACATAATGTATATATTTCGTGTAAATTAGTCAAGTCTTAAAAGTAATCACTAAAAACAAATGATCATCTAGGATCTTCAAAGTTATATGAAGTACAAATTAGCATTTTATTTCATTTATTTACTGTGTGTGGAGGTGGGGGTGGGGGAAGTGTATGCCAGGGCATCATCCCATGGAAGTCAGAGGACCACTTTTGATAGTTGCTTCTCTCCTTCTACCATGAGGGTCCCGGGTTTCAGAATCAAGTCATCAGGTTTGGTGGTGAGTCATCTTGCTAATCTCACAGATTAGCATTTTTTTTATCTGCTATAAAATACACTTAAGCAAAATGTTAAAATCATGAATGTCTATTCAGAAGCACCCAATGATAGACCTTTCTGCTTCTCAAAGGGTGATGATCATTTAAGAGAGTGTGGTGTAAAGGGGCATTTCAGTGACTTTTCTGTGGCTGTGATAAAACACCATGACCAAAAACAATTTAAGGAAGAAAGTTGATCGTGGCCTAGGCTCCATCAGGACAGGGAAGACATGGCGGTAGGCAGCTGGCATTGAAAACAAGATAACAGTTCACCACATAGGAAGCAGAGTGAACTGAAAGAGGGGCCAGGACAAACTCTCAATGTCACCCCTCCCCAGTGAGGTACTTCCTTCAGCAAGGCTCTGCACCTCCTAATGGTTAAATGACTTCCTTCAAATAATGCCACCGTGTGGGGACCACGTACTCAGACATTTGATCCTATGGGGGATATCTCTCATTCCAACCATCAGAGATTCAAGAGAATGAGGAGGGGGAGGGGGAGGGGGATCATAGAAGGGGCAAATAAGAACATAATATGATACAGATCCATGAAAAATGCCACAGTAAAGTTAACTCTACTGTGTATGCTAACTAAAAAGGGGAGAAAAGGAAATGGCTGTCTGGGGAGGGGTTAAAACATGAGGATGATGAATGGAGGGGTGGAAAGAATCTGTAATCAGCAAATGTGAGCTTTACTAGCATGATTATAGAAATTATGTGCCTACATAAACAGGGTCATTAAATTCAATTGATAGAATTTTATTGTCTAATCTTTTCCAAGTACATAAAAGTATTTTAAAAGATATATACTTAACAAGTGATTCAAATGGTAACATTAAGTTATTTTGTAAATGGAGAAATTAGGGTACCAATTTGGTTTAATTTTTCAAGACAGGGATTCTTTGTGGAACAGTCCTGGCTGTCTTAGTACTCGCTCTGTAGACCAGGCAGACCTTGAATCACAGAGATCTGCCTGGTTCTGCCTCCTGAGTGCTGGGATTAAAGGTGTGCGCCATACCACCTGGTTCAGCTTTTTCTTTTCTAAAATGACACTAAATTAAAAGTCTTTGCAATCAACTCCTCTGGAAATATTTTCTGGAAATAAAAGTATTAAAACATAGAACAAGGCTACAATTTAAGACTTGACATGGTTTGTCAACTTTCAGGGTGTGTGTGTGTGTGTGTGTGTGTGTGTGTGTGTGTGTGTGTGTGTGTTATTGTCAGTATTCTTTACAATACATATATTAACATGTAAATAAGAGGCATATGATCTGATTTGTGCATTCTGTTTAATGCCATCTCACACTATTTGCTATAGGACACAATGCCTGTGAAGTACCATTACTGTGAAGATAAAGCCATGGACAGGAAAGAAAAGGGTAGCCATCCTTCCCTCAGGAGGTTGTTAAAAGTAGAAAACAGCTCAGTCCATAAAGTGCTTGCCTTGCAAGCACAGCGACCTGAGTTCAATCCCTAGAGGCCATTAAAAAAAGGGGGGGGGGTGGCTCTGGGAAGGTAGGTGGAGACAGGAATCCCTGTTTCAAATGTCTGGCCAGCCTGGCCTAATGGAAGAGGAGTTCTGTTGAGGAATATTCCTTTACACTGTGTGAAGATGTGTCACTGTGATTGGCTTAATAAAGAGCTGAATGGCCAATAGCTAGGCAGGAAAAGGTTAGGTGGAACTTTTGGGGACAGAGAGCTCTGGGAAGATGAAATGTGGAGTCGTCAGTTTGATGCAGAGGAAGCAGGACATGCAGGAGAGGAAAAAAGGCACAAGCCACATGACAGCACGTAAATTCATAGAAACGGGTTAATTTAAGTTATAAGAGCTGGTTGGAAACAAGCCTAAGCTAAGGCCGATCTTTTATAATCAGTAAGTCTCTGTGTCATGATTTCAGAGCTGGCAGTCCAAAAAATCCTGCTACAGAGTTCCAGGACAGTAAGAACCCTAGCTTTCTTTCAGTTACAAAACAAAACAAACAAAAAAGACAAAAAATGCCCGAGGAAAAACACCCAAAGATATCATCTGGCCTCAAAACACACATATATGCATGCATGCTCTTGGTATCAGGACCAATCTCACTCCTCCCCTACTTTTAAGAATTATACCTAAATGTCACTCTGTGCTGGTCATGTATTCTATGACTTCCTCTCCCCTAACCCAATAAGCAAAGTCTTCATATTCCTACAGTTACAATATAACTTGCCTCAATTTTTAAGAAGCCTCAAAGTTACTGTCTTGGAAACATTTGAAAAAAAAAGTCAAAACAAAGCAGAGAGTTAAAACACAGAGAAAAACAAAAATAAAAACAATAAACTGAAAGACCTTGGGGGACAAACCATTCTCACCCTCAGAACTCTGTCAAGTTCTTCCCGGCAACTATCTAGCAGAGCAAAGCGCTGGGATCAAGGTCCCTTTGGAAAGAGCATTCTCAGGAAAGAGGGGTCTTCACTGAGCAGGAGGGGGACAGGACAGA